AAAGGATTAACGATGTTTGCATGGTTTCTTTTTTGTTATTATTATTTTATTTTTTTACACGTGGCAACGGTCGGACGAAAGCGAGATCAGAAAAGGCCAAGCAGAGATAAGAGAGTTTTGTTTGAATCCGGTCGTCTTTTCACATAAAAACGAAGAAGAAATGCTGGATTTACCGGGGAATATAATACATACTTATACAGTACTGACGACAAACTACATCCGGTTGCAAGGCCGCTGATAGGAAGATTGGTGGCTTTGAGAAGCGTGGGACCACCTCTTAATTGCTTTTAGGGGCCCCAACTATGACCAAATAATGAACCCCCAGACAAAAAACTATGAAAGTATAAAAATATATTTTTATAGTAAAGATATTAGCAATATATTTTTATATAAAAAATACTAAAAATTAGTATTTATAGTAAAAATACCAACAATATAATAACTATAGCAAAATGGCCAACAATACATTTTATTTATCGTTAAAAGCATACAATTGCAATCAAAATATTTCGGCATTAAATAACCCAAAGAGGTTGATATGCCGCTAGACCAAATCAACAAAACAACCAACATGCATACATACTTACATATATACTAGCATGCATACACAAACCGTATAGACTCGTGTAAAAGTCGATCTGAAATAATAGTAGAGTTACGTAATTTTTGTAAAAATAAATATATATTACTAATATTAACCACTCACAATAGAGGTTTACTGGGTTTAGTGGTATGGAAACAAGAGGTGGAAGTAGAAAATAAATATTCTGATGATATAAATGAGAGATAACGCTTGATTCTGGACTTAAAGAGGTTTGGGAAAGCATCCACGCCGGAGTCTGTTCTAAAAGAAGTGGAGGCTTTGGAAGGAGCTGTCTGCGTGGAACTTCGTGTAGTTAGTCTATGACCCTAACGTAGTGAAATTGTATCCGCCACACATGGAAGCACTTTTCGTCTTAGCTACGTAATCATTTCTTTGGCCGTTTCATGGAATAATGACGGAGAGCCATAGCCCAAAATGCCGACTTCCCTGTTCAGAAAAGATTCCTTGTCTTTCACTGTATCTTAACTTGTGTTAACTGATTAATTTCTACGGTGTCTGCAACGTTATATGTTTTCATACCTCTTTTTGTTGTTGTTGTTGGGTTGTTTTTTAAAAAAATCTTTTCTAATTATGACTTGTAACTTCTAAAATTGAATGACTACCTCCAGCTTCAGTCCCCCAATGCCTTATTACCAATTACCGTTTCCCACCTTAAATGTAACTTTTCGCAAACAATACTAACTTTTTGTTATTCCCTTTTTTGTTATATTTTCGATCGATCACTTTACAGACCTTATTCTTTCACTCCATCCCCAATCATTTTATATTTTCGTATATATTTATATATACAGAGTGTCTCCCAAAATTGACATCAATTTGTCGCCCAATAGCATAGCTAATTGTCGCCCAGATGATCTCAGCTTTTAACAAAATGCGTAAAAACTAAGTTGAAGGTTTTTTTTTTGTTTTTTTTTTTCAGGGTGAAGAATGACGTTGACTATAAATGAAAAAGCATTTTGTGTATTCGAATATACTCGAAGACAGTCAAACAAGAGTGTGCAGCGGGCATTTTCGAGAAAATTCAAGAAAAATACATCAACTTGAAAGCAAATTTAGATATGGCACAAAAAATTCAAAGAAGAAGGTTTTCTGTGCAGGTCAAAGGGGTCTGGACAACCACCAGTATCGGAAGATATCGTTAATGAGATTTGGGAATCATTTGTGAGGCTGTGGCCTTATCGCAGTGAGGCTGTGATCATAGTGCAGTGAGGCTGTGGCCCTAGCGTAGTGAGGCTGTAAGAGTATCTATGGAAATACAGATTCATCGTACGACACTTTGGCGTTGAAGAATGTTGCGCAAGACATGCTACAGCGTGTTTGGCAGAAGCTGGACTACCGACTTGACGTGTGTCATGTCACAGGCGGGGCGCATATTGAATATTTGTGAAGCTTTGTGAAATCGTTTATAAAATCTCCATTTCTTTGAATATCATGTTCGAATTTTGATAAATAAATCTTTTATTGTTCGACATGAAGACTATTTCATTTCGTTTGCCTGGGCCATGTAGTTATTTAGATATTCACATTTTAATGATGTCAATTTTGTGAGGACGCCCGGTACTTTTAAAATGTCCCTTTTTAAAAGTCCTCATAATACAGAGTACGCACGCGCAAACCATAAACAGTTTTGGAAACTCCAATAACACTTCAAAATATATCACTGGGAACAATTGCATCAACATTATATATATATATATATATATATTAAAGAGAGTTGGCTCAGACGAAATATTAATGATAAAACGATCAGCAGAAATCAATATCAATAAAATGTCGTTTGGGCCAACCCTCTTTAGAATTAACCTGTTGATCCGTTATTCGAAACATAGGTAGATAGGTTCTGGCACTTTCAGTTAATTATGTCTCATGCGTAATACACACTTAGGCGATCATGTATCTATCGATACATGACTGACGAGGCAGATTTTTTTTTCCCGCAGTAGGTTGCCATTTCTTTCTACGGTAGATCAGTAGCCATCCAAGGTCTGTCCTGCTATTTACCCATAGCTGGGGGAAGAAGAAGAGGATTCATACCTTTCCCAGGGGTATTGTCCCGTAAATGAATGTAATGGATTCGACTGGAAAATCAGTCAGTCAGTTATATGCCAGTCATGATACACGATAAGACGATCATGTATCTTTCGATACATTACTGACGAGGCAGATTTCTGTTCTGCAGTAGGTTGCTATTTCTTTCTGCCGTAGACCAGTTGCCATCCAAGGTTATGGAACCCGGGTATTAGCACATGAGTGAAGGTAATGAATTCGACTGGAATTCGAACTCAGCTCTCCGAATTCTTAATCCGAACTACCCGTTACTTCACTGTGCCTCCTGGCTCTTGACATATTCTAATTTTGCTCTGCTTATTGTATTGAGCACTTTTACGTACCAAGTTAGGTAACTCTGTCGGTGTTTTTTTCTTCTTTTGGCAAGACATTGCAGTGCTGATTGATTATTTTCTAGCAATACGGATGTTATTGGACTTTTCTTTTTTATTGATTTTTCTCCTGATATCAGTTTGTCTGATATTTTTAATTTACAAATTGCATTATATGTTTTTTTTCACACCGCCCGAGTATAGGTAAAAAATTAATATATATATATATATATATATATATATATATATATATATATATATATAAAAGTGAGAGAAAGCAACTGTCTCAACCATTAAGCAAGCCCAAAGCAGATAAATGAGTTACTGAAAATA